ATTAATGTTTATCAAGTTTTACTTGATGCTGATCCAAATATTCATCGACGATTAATTGGAATGGGTGATTCATCAGGTGGAATGCTTTGGATTTATCTTTTACAATGGATTATATCAAATAATAAACCTATTCCACAAGGTGTTGTTTTACATTCTCCATGGCCTAATCTTGATTATTTCGATAGCAATGTTAGATTCGTAACTGATAGTTATTTATCATTAAAACTTGCATATAATTTAAGACAATTAGCAATTGGTAAAGATACTAATTGGTTTGAAGTGACTGATGAAGAACTAAGTAAAATAAGTCCAAAAGATAATTCATTTGAAGAATTTCCACCAGTTTATATAACAGCTGGTACAAATGAAATATCAATTGATGCGATTCGTGATATGACTGAAAACATGAGATTATCAGGTGTAGAAGTAATATTAGATGAAGGTGAAGGATTAATGCATACATATGCTTTATTTCATCTTTGGTCACCACAAAGTAGATATACTCAAGAAAAAATTCGTCAATGGACTCGAGAACAATTGTTAATTGGAATACAATCAAAATTGAAAATGGATAGTGTTACAACAAGTCAAATGTGCACTTAGGATTCAAGGTTAAAGTGTTCCAATGCAATTTTTATTTGAACTGTCTTAATTAGGATGTTATATTTGGAACCTGAATTTGGATGTGTGTGGACTTTGTACAAATGTATAAATAAGTTAATTTAGGACTTTGTGTTGTATAGGTGTCAGACAAAGCTGAGATTTAAGCAAAACAAAAGAGAATCATTAAAAGATTCTGAAATAAAACTAATCGAAATCGATTAGAACAAATAACTTATCTTGCAGTAATATTTTTTTATATTTATGTTTCAATAAAATCTAGCTATATTTAAAAATTTATACAGTTCGCGAATATTCGCAACTGAAATTTGACATGATTTTGTAACCTGCGAGAAAAAAAGGAATCTTTAAGCTGATATTTATTGTTATTAGAGTTTTTATTTCATTGATTCACAGTCATCACAATCACTATCGAATTTCTCTCATACAACGTTGATTCTCAAAAACAACTATGTATGTATTTTTACAAGTAATTAGAAAAAATTTTGAAACTTTTGATTATGTAAATCGATCAGCTATATTGCTATACGTTTCACTCAATATCTTAGGAACTCATGTCCTACAAACGGCTGAAAAACTGTCGATTAATCGTGATATATCGAAACAATAATTGTGAGCTGAAACGCGATTAATCGCCGGTTTTTTATGATATTTTCAGTAATTATTACGATAAATCACGATTTGTTCTCCGATTATTTTCAATGTTAACCGTAGCTGTATCGCTAATATCATCTGATATTATCAAGATTTCGGAGATTTTTCAAAAATTTCTTCAAACTCTATCGATCTTTTAAGTTAACTTTTAGTTAAAAATGTTGACCATGTTGATAACGTATAGTAGTAAAAGTACTAATAAAACAAAAAAATCAGTTAATTACATATTCGTTTTTCACACATTTCTCCCATGAAGTTTCGCAAAATAGGAAAAAAAGGTATTTTTAGAATTTACACGTGTTAAGATACATAACATAAAAAACGCATTCACAAGACATGAATAACTATTGAGTTATAAATATATGACATATCGATGCTATGAGAACTAAACAAAATGTATTAAAAATGCAAGATCCAAGTTAAAGAAGTAAATTAGATAAAACATGTTAACGTATATAAAACGTAATAGCGAACGTCCTAATCAAAAGTTAATTTAATGATTAAAATATCTTCAATAATAAGAATATTCAAGTTTAAGTTTTTTTTATTCGAATAATCATTAGAAGTATCTGTTGGTTTTTAGAATAGTGAAACTTTGTTGTACTGATGATATTGATTTTTGTTAATTGGTTTTCAGAATCGCCACCAAGATTATTATTATCTAGAAGAGAAAAGAATGAAAATATATTTCAGGATCTACCGAGAAAGAAACTGCTTGATTTGATAGATTTTTTTCGAACTTTAACTTTTTAAGTTTCTACGTTGAGACTCGATAGATTCAAGCATCTATCGGTATTTAGAATTTTACCAGAAAATCAGCTCTTAAACCAAATTTTACTTTAACAGAACCTTTAATAGAAACAAAAATGGTGGCGATAGTTTTGAAGTGATTGACGTCTAATAGTTGTAACTTGTTCACCTGAATCAATGCACGCAGATCAATACCAAGAAGTCCTTTTCCTTCTTTGAATATTCAACCGGCACTCTTTAATACAAATCTATTTTGTGTTCAAATTGTCAGTTGGAATATAAAGGAGATTAATTTGCTCAACAGTACTAGATTTGTAAATCTACAAGAAAACTTGTTAGAGCAGTCCTTTTGGGACTGAAATGTGGAACTCACATATACTCTCTAGCCTCATTCAACTAATAAAAAAAACGTATAATGAAAAATCTGTCCTTGATTATAATTATTTTGCAGGATGATCAATCACTGAAGTAAGAAGCTCTCTAATTTCTGCATTGTGAACAGAATTTTTTTCTCTACGGGCGTTCTTGTTTTCATTGTTGCTATTCGCTCATTAGTTTTCACTTTTTAATTTTAATTCGTTTTTCTTAATTTAATATTCTTATTATTATAATCATTGAACTAGTGGGCAAATAAGTCTGTTTTACATACTCATGATATCTACTGCAGATCTTATGCACTATTATATATATCCTCCTGGAAAAAAATAGTGTTACTCGATATTTTTAATATATCATCACTATAAATTAACATTTTGAGAAAAGTAATTATATATTCGGATAGCCCGTGGAATTCTCTACAACTCTATATATGTACGCTTTGAATTGCACTTGTTCGCTAAAAATAAATTCACGCACAGTAAAGGCACCCTCATTGGCAGATTCACCGAAAATGCAATTTGTTTTCTTTTTCATCCATTTTTTCAAATTTATTTTTAGTATAAAAACAAGTTATTACAAAACTAAATATACAATCTGAAAGTGCATGAAAGTCCTTATCATCCTGTACTTTCCCAGCCATGATTAGCTATTATTTGATTACAAAATATTCGATATATTATTTATATACCCACGTATGACGTCTTGAGGAATCGTATTCCATGCTTGCTCAACTAACCGCTCTAAACGTTGTTGAGAGTTTGGATGATTTCTTTGCACGTGCCGATTCATCCAAGACCACACGCTCTCAACAGCGTTGAGATCAGGACTAACAGCCGGATAGTTATCCATGCATCTAATACGATTACTAAGTAACCAGTCATGTGCTAGTACAGTGTGTACCCATGTAGGACGATCGTGTGTGAAATAATATCGTCTTAGATGACGTAGATGTGAATTCAGTGTAGCTTGTAGATGTTGAACGTATGTTCTAATATTAATTCGACCATGAATGAAAACAAAGTTTGATCGATCATCATACCATACTGCACCAAATATGACGACGCGATATTGAACTTGACTTTGGAAATGTGTTGGCCTTGGACAACCGTACGGGATCCAGTAAACTATACCAGAAACATCAACTTCAGATGCTTTTTCATCACTGAAGATGATGTTCTGCCATCGATCTGTTGCATGTGATAAATAGAAATTTAACCTTTGTCGTGTATATGTTGCATTAATTAATGGTTGAGTTCGTGCATGAACTGGATGAAAACTCAACGACGAACGGTAATTTCGAGTAGTTCGAGAAGTAACATGGAGACCAGTTCGTTGAAAAAACATATTAGTAATGCTGTTCGAGGTTTCATTCGAGTACCTATACAAAATGTGTCTTAATGCATGAATTTCAACATCAGTCAACATCATATTACGACCTCGTCCGCTTCGTTCAATAACATCATTGGTTTTTTTAAATAATTCGAGTATACGATAAACTGTTGAAATACTACAATGAATAATACGAGCTATTTGACGTGCATTTAGTCCTTGATCGAAATCTAATGAAATAATACGTCAACGGTCACCAACAGATAAATGTCCACTCATTGTAATTGAACAATTTTCTTCAAGACAGAAGAGAAAATGAACACCTATGTGATTCACGCACGTGTCAATAAGACTAGCCGGTAGGCTGATGTATGTAACTAGATTATATTTTCGAGAAAACAGAAAGAAAAACGAAAAGATAAATTTGAAAAATGAATGAAAAAGAAAAACAAATGCATTTTCGGGGAATCTGCGAATGAGGGTGCCTTTACTGTGCGTGAATTTATTTTTAGCAAACAAGTGCAATTCAAAGCGTACATATATAGAGTTGTAGAGAATTCCACAGGCTATCCGAATATATAATTACTTTTCTCAAAATGTTAATTTATAGTGATGATATATTAAAAATATCGAGTAACACTATTTTTCCCGGGGGGATATATTAATCAACTCACAAATAATGATATTCATTATTTTTCAAAATTATAACTTGATCATTTTGCAAAAAAAAAATTCTTGAATATCTGACACCTATTACTCTCGATTGCTAAGGTCTGTAATGAAGAGGGGAGCGGGGGGGGGGGGGGACTGCGAAAACTTGACGTTAATAGTTCCACAAAATATAGAAAGAAATTTAAGACATCTCTACTTACAATACTGTCAGGATTGCTTTTGCATGTTGATACTTCAAGTCCTGTCGTATCAAGCAATGTGATTGAAGCCTAAAAAAGAATTGAGCATTTGACCAATAGAAAGAATTTGTACATTATCGTTAATTGAGAAAAAGTATCTGATGTTAATGGAATTCAACCTTCACACATTATTTGCTAAAGGTTGCAAAGAATGAGCGGACGTTGATCTTCGCCTTGATTGTCCAACCAAATAAAAGATATGCTACTGACAGCAGATGTAGTAACTAGTATTCTTTTCCGTGGTTCAGTATTTGGACGTTCAAAATCACAATCTAGTACACTGATTTATTATTTTTTGCATAGTGAAATCGAAATTTTAATTAATTAACAATAGATTTACACCAGAGGATATAAAAAAAATTCCGATTAATCATTCCAATATTTTAGTGATCATGATTAATCGATTTTCTTATCAATATCACGAGAAGATCTGGTTTTATCGTTGAATTTTGAACGTAATTCGATTAGTCCTGACTTTACGTTCACTTTTCTGAAAACCGGCAAAATCACCGCGATTCTCACCACATGGAACAGGACGATCAGCATTGAGTGTTTCTTTCCAATTTTGACATCATCAAGCCTTTGAGAGACAAGTCACCAAAAGATTAACCAATTTCACATAGTATTGTTCGCAGATAAAGCCTGCTTTGGGCTCTTTTCAGTCCAAACAGGACGTCATCTCGTGAAACTGATAAATCCCAAATATTAGGGTTTTTAACATCCTTATAAATATGTCGCAGTTCACAGTTCTCTGATATTTGTAGTTGACCTATAAGAATTTGGAAAAAAAGAATTTTCTCACAACTTTATTGGTTTTTTGAGCTTTTTTTCTGTCTGTGGTCGTCCTTTTGAACCAGGAAAGATCTTCAATGATCTGAAAAGAATTCTCTACAAAATGGGGTACACTAGTAGTTATTATATTAATTTTTATTAGTCGATCGTGCCTACCTTGGAGAAAGGGGAAAGGGATCATGATTGATGGTCATTCTTTTATAGTAGTTTGTCTCTAGCATGATCGAGTGATAGTGTTTAAAATACAGAATTTAGTGTCTGGAAGCTCTTGAAATTCTGTAAATTTTGAGATATTACTCGATGTAGAAGAAGCCGTGTCCGAAATTTAAGTAGACGTAATAAAAAACGGGCTGTCATAGTTCTCAATACCTATTTTGAATGGTTTTTGGCCCCCGCCCCCCCCCCCCCTCCTAAATAGAAGGCCACCCCGAAGAAAAACTCACTAGGCGTAATAGAAGGCCACGGGGTTTTCAGAAGCTTTTTTTAGAAATCCAGCGGATTCTTAGATTTTAGTACATAAAATCCCGGTTTTTTAGTGAAAACTGATTTTACGGCACTTGACTGATAAAAGTGCCTTTTTGAACGCTAGAAAATTTTTCAAAAAACCCTTGGTTTTCTAGGTAAATTCTAGGAAAAAATAGCCCACAATAGAAGGCCACCTTTGCAGAAGCGATGTGAATTTCCATAATAGAAGGCCATGACCTTTTATTCTGTGCGGATGTTTACGTCAACTTGGTTTGTTTCAAACAAAATATGACATCAGACTCAGGGTCAGTGTCAGAAGCTGAGTGCGAAATACTGTTTGTTTGAATGTATGCTTTATAGAGTTGCAAAAAACGAAGGAGAGTAGGAGTATCCAGAATTGATCTCAAAGTAAATATTTATAGTCATCTTGGTGATGGTGTCTGACTTGTCATAAGAAGAGACGAAATGAAGTATGGTATATCATTTGGGATCATCAGTAATATCCTGCGGAACAACTTCTCTCGGTTTCTATTTTCCATTCCCATAAAAATGTTTCGTTCCGGTTTCCGTACACAAGTTTTTTTCCGTCTACACGTTGCCGTTCCAGTAAGGCTTTTGAAATTCCTATTACGATTTCATTTTTTGCGTTTCAAAAAAATATCATTATCTGATACTAGCTTCTTGCGAAGCCATATTTTTCACAATATAGCATAGGGTAATTTAGAAATAAATTTGGGATTGGATGCTCATCTAACAAATGATACAACTGAAGTTTGCTATTTAAAAAAGTTTCATTTTTGTGTATTTTCTTTATATTAATTTGCTGAATATTATCTATATTAACTTGGTGAAGCTTAACAATATTCAATTGCGCGAATATCTTCTACAAATTCTACGAAATAAACTTTATCAAAAGCTGAAATTTAAGATTTAGCTCTTGCTTACAGTAGTTTGAGTATTTTTACTAAAGATGTATATGTCACAAGCAATTTCTTTTATCAACATATGTACAAAGTTATTGTGACACACGTTTTAATGGTATAAATGTAATGCTTGATTGTTTTTTTGAAAGTTTATCATGAATTACCAACATTACTAAATGACGAACAAGAAAATTATTTGAAAATCTATCGTGATAATATGAAATTATTATGTTTATACTTGAAGAACTTTTATGATGTTATTGAAAAATTAAGTTGTGAAAAAACACTACCATTGCATCTTGTTAGACCTTACAACCAGTTTGTCATTAATTTATCAAGTGTTACCAGTCAGATAATCAAGTAATATCACCTTTAAAAAATACATTGGAACACAATGGCAAGACTATTTGATTGCAAATTATGTTCAGTACATAGCAACTATGTTGTACCCAAATCTTAAAAGTGTTAATCATAACTCACAACAAAATATCATGCAAAAGAATTATTACAATTATAATTTAATAAATATCAACAATTTGAGCAACAACAATTATGGTGAAAAAATAATAATAGAATAAAACAAATTTAACAAAAAAAAACAAATCAAAATTATCAACGTCATCCGATGAATTAAAAGATGATAAAGAAATAGTGGAAATACAATAACAACTTGGCGTACACGTTTTCAAGCAAGTGAAATAAATCAATTATTATTTAGACGCCAAAATTTATCAACATTAATAGAATTATGTTCACCATCAATTGAACACATAAAACAAGAAGAAATAGTAACATTTCAATAAAACCAATAAAAAACTAAAGCATTTACAAAAAGAACATTATGCTTGTGATGATTTAATTATGGTTTTAATGAACAATGAATGAAGTTGTCTAATTTTTGCAGTTATATATTCGTTATTTTGTTGCTAATTATAGACCAAAAGAGTTATTAAAAATTAAAAACTGTTAAATGAATACATTTTAATGCGTATAAAAATATCAAAAAACAATTTTCCAAAACACGAATTTTTAATATTTGCTCCCGTTCCCGATTCCTGCTGGAAACGAAACGAAAACAATCATTCTTGCAGGACACTAGTACGTACCAATCTACCGTCTCTCATCATCACAATCCTGTCTAGAATAATATATATGAATTTCGGGAAAAAATAACTCGTTAATGAGAGAGGTCGTAGGAAATCAGAGAAAATTTTCGTTGTTGGCGATCACAATGGCCACAGATCATGACTGTGACCGAAAAACTTCGTCACGTCGAGCACCAATGTCAAGTCATAAGAAACTGATAAAACTGTCTACGACTTTAATAATTTTCATTCTTATAGTGCATTTTTTATAGAAAAACAGATAGCATATTAAAAATCACATACATTTTACCAAAATTATTTTTTTCTGAAAAACGACTCTCAACACTGCCGACACTAAGTTTATCGTAAATCAACACTCAGAATGAGTACGAACGACCTGTTTTTTTATCAAAGATCAGTTTTGTCACAATATATGCTATGCGACATAGGTTTTAACGCTGATTTTGAATATGCCATTGTTTTGGATCTCATATTAAGTTATACTGTAAAAGTTTGTTTAATGTGAACAGCATTTTAACAGCTTTGTATCGTTTTGCCACTTAGCGCAACAATTATGGCTCCTACTGAAATTCCATACAATTAAAAATTCTCAAATTTATTCAATATGCTTTCAAGAAACAAACATTTTTATAAATTTCAGACGATTGCACCCAGAACTATTTTACATATTAAACTTTATAGAATAAAATACTCTATAATTATCTTATGTACTCCATAAAAAGTAGTATGTCTCGAGTACACCATACTACTACGTAGTTTTAGGTTTCTTCGTATTTGTATCTGTATGGAGTGCCAATGATGCTGTTCTCTTATTATTT